GGACGCGCCTGCTCTGGGCGGGGCTGTATTGTCCTCCTTCTGTGGTGGAGCTTAATCAAAATGGCTTCCAGCTGGTCCTCGGTGGGGACGAAGAGGCTTGAGGCCTAGACGTAAGACACAAGCCGGGGATGGCTGACTGACTGGACGAGGAAAGGGGAGCCTACATCATAGCCCCAGCATGAGGTTCTGGAAAAAAAAACCTCTCGTTCGGTGACCCAAAAGCAGCTTTCCCCACTGTTAGAGGAACATCACACTTCCTCTCAGTCGGCCTCTCATCCTTTGAATTTTAAAGCTTCAGCTTCAACCCGCTTCCCACCAGGCTCTTGCCTCAGTGCAGTGACTACTAAGGTCCTGCTGGTAATCCCACACTTTGATTAGCTGAGGAGAAATGTTCATCCTACAAACTCCTTACTCATGGCCTGGCTCCCAACCTCCACGAGGAAACAGAATCCATTAGAACCACCCAATATCAAAAAGCTTCCAATCCAATCAATCGTTTCCTTCAATCTGGTTAAAATATAGAAGTAGGTCCCTCCTGTTTTAAGAACAATCCTGACGTCTGTGCAGTGGATTGCTCCTGCTCCTCTAGGTAGGTTTTATTATTTCCTTTGTCCCTGTCTCGTCTTCCACTCCTCTGTCAGCATAGAAAAAGACGCTCTCAATTCTATTTTCCTCATAAGTTACCACCATATCTCTTCATTCTTGGCCAAACGTCTTGAAAAAATGTCCATGCCAGCTGTCTCCACTCCCTCACCTCCCACTCACTCTCCAATCCACTGCAATCTGGTGCTGTCCCCATAGCTCCACTAAAACTGCTCTCTACAAGGTCACCGCAAACTCTGCTGAATCCAGTATGCTTGCCAGTTCATCACTCCTCTTGAACTCCTTCCTTGTGACTTTGAACTCTGACTCTGGTCTGTCCTTGATCCCTTTGCATTTTTTTCTTCTTGGCCCTTCTCTTAATTGTTCCTTGGATTTCATTTCATTCTCTTATCTTCTATTATCCTGGAATGATGTCACCACTTCCATTATCATCTATTTGTTAATGATTCTCACATCTGTATTTCTACTTCAGATCTTTCTCTGAGCTTCTAACTCGTAAATCCAACTGATGTCTGAACATCTCCATTTGGATGTCCCAGAGGTACCTTAAACTGAGCACAGCTCAACTGAAATTCCTCACTTTACCTTCCCCAACCTGCCCACCCAGTCTAGTTCACTAAATGGCACCCCATTACAACATTGGTCCAAGCCAGAAAGCCAGGAGGCATCCTGACTTCTTCCTCTCGTCCACACACTCCCCATGCAGTCAACCTCCAAGTTTTGTCTATTGCACCTTCTAAATACCTACCAAATCTGTCTACTTTTCTTCAGCTTCTGTCCAGTGTCTGAGCTAGGCAGCAATTGCTGGGTTTTCAGGTTGGTCCTCCATGGGACAGAGGAGACTTAAAGCCTTAGATGTAAGACATGCCAAGGAAGGCAGATCCATCAGGGGAGGCAGGGGAAGCCTAAGTTCAAGTCAGCTCTCTCCAGGGCTACTGCAATAGCCTCCTAACTGGTCTTTTGTTTTAAGGTAAGTCCCACTATCCCTGAATATTTAAGTGAATCAGAATCATCTAGGGTGCTGGTTTAGATGCATATCCTTGGGCAGCGTGGCTCTGGGATCCCCCCCTTTTTAACAAGTGTCCCTGGTTCTCCTTAAGCACACTAGAGGCTGAGCCCCACAAACTGTTCTAAAATAAAAACGAAATAATTTTCTGCCAGTCCTTGGTTCAGTGGCAATCCTCTGCCTTATAGGATAAAGTCTAAATTTTTTATAAGACCTACAAAGCCCTTTGAGAGCTAATCCAGGATAACCATTCTAACTCTTTCTCATCATTTCCTCCTGGAAGCCTCAGCCTCTTTGGTCATATTCAATTACTTGGGGTTCCTGCATGTGCCTGCCCTCTCTTAACTCTAAGCTTTTGTCCATTGTGGATGCTCAAAGATTCACTGAATGCATAAATAAATTGATACTATCACTATACGTAAGGTTCTGTGCTAGACATTGAGCAGGCAAAGAAGGGCAGACAAAGTCTCTAACTCAAATAACATAATTTGGTGGGGGTGGGGTTAAGTAGGAAATACACAAGAAGTGAAAGGGGAAGAGAACCAACTGCCATGTGTCAGGCACTGAGTGGGGCTTTACTACTATTAATTTATTTTCTCCTTAACACGAACCCTTCCAAGCAAGTATATTTATTTGCTACTGAGGCTCAAAGGAGTTAAGTAACTTACCCAATATCACATAGCTAGCAGTTAGTGCTAAGTGAAGTCTACTGTATACCAGGGAATGAACATACAGGATACTATGCCAGATACTGTAGAAAAAGAAAAAGAGATGCTATCTTTGCTCTGCTAAATCCAGATCTTCTGTTGCCATCACACACACACCTTCCCAGCCTTGCAGGACTGTGGAACTTTGAAGGAATGTATCATGTTACAGTTACCCTCAGCAATACGTTGGGACCACCAGAAATCAAAAGCTTGTTTAGTCATTAGCTTCTGGGTAACAGGTGTGTCCTATGATATCCTCTCCACTCTCCAAAGTTACAAAATTTCCTAAATTACAAAATCACCTTCAGGCAATGGAGGAATGCCTATAAAAAATAGTTAAGCATATTCAAATGTGTGAACAATATATATTCCAGTGGAAAACCGGAATTCTATGAGCTGAGCCTACAGAATCTATTAAACTCGCGTTCTGAGAGCCTCATTCAGATTTTCAGGAAAAAAAAAATTGTTAAAAAACAGAAACTTCCCAACATTAAGTTTCTCACCCTCTTTAGGGGTGGGAAAGGGAGTGGCTGTGCACCGGAAAAGGGTGCTCTAGAAAAAGGAAATGAAAGTAGTACATACAGAAAAGGAGGACAGTGATTACCATGTGGAGATGCTGTGCCAAGCCCTTAATCCTCACAAAGCCTGTATTACTATTATCCCATTTTACAGATGAAAAAAGTGAGATATAGAGGTTGGACAATTTGGTCACCCAGCTTAAAGTGGCACAGCCAATATCACACTGAACTCAGGATTTCTGACTCAGAGCGTGGCACTTAGTTACTGTAGGACTGCATACAGGCCCCCGTGGAAGGCCGGAGAGAAAACATGCAGAAAAAAAAAAAATCCTAGAATAGTTCCAGGAGCACCAATCAAGTTATTTTGACTTACATTTTTGTTTGGTTGTCTCTCTCAGCAGAATGGAAGTTCCATGAAAGCAGAGACCTGTCTCTCTTGTTTACAGTTTTTAATCCCAGCACTTTGTATCAGTTCTTGGATCCAAATGGATGGATAAAAGAGTAAATGAGGAAAGAGTTGTGCAGTGAGAAACAACTAGTAACTTGGAAATGGAGCAAGAAAGGCCTAATTCCTCTAGAAATCTAATCAAATAGCAATGCTGGTGTTAGAAGTGGAGGGTAAGAGTAGGATGAACCATCCAGAATGTACTCCTCAGGATCAGGTGCTAAATAAAAAAAACATTCCTAAAAGGTCTGGGAATATAAGAATCAGAGAGACTGTTTAGAGCTTTAAAACCTTGTCAAAATCCCTGTCAAAATCCCTGAGAAATACATCAACTGAATTTGTAACACAGACAACTAAACTGTTGTGTAGTTTGTCAAATGTCTTTCAGGTTCTAACTCAGGTTAATTGAGTACTTGAGCTACCTCTGTGAATATTACAGGAATATTGAATACTGAATTCTTGAATACAGCAGGAAATCTGGAGGCAGAATGGTGATACTGTAGAAATCTTCCAGCTTTTTATCCTTGGGTCATGGCGAAGAAGATGGGACCCAAGATAATGTCAACAATCAAAGCCAAGAACCAGGTTTATTGCACTTTAAATGTGTCAGCTGGGGTATAAAATGTAGAGAAATATTGTCCCATTTCACAATACCATACATTCACTGAATCTTAATGTACATATTGCACAAACGTATTTAGAGAATGGTCCTGTAAGCTTCTCGAGGGCAGGTATCATCGCTTTTCATCTTCATAGTCTCAGCAAATAACAAAGTCCTGAGAGCCAGGAATCGATAAGAGTTCATTGACTTATTGATGCAATAGTTACATAGCACTTGTCATGAGAATACCAAAAATGCCCAAATTGGGCTTCCTGAATGCTTGTCAGTTAGGCAGCCTTTACATTGGTGTGACAATATCAAGTTCTTCTAACACCATTAATGCTCCAATCCTACTTCTCTGTCCACCACTAGCTTCAAGTAGGGCCAGTGACTTGAGGCTGTTTCATAAAATGAATGTGAACAAATTGGACAAACCTTTTATTTTGCAGTTGTGCCAAATATAGACAATATCTGCACTCTTCAAACTCTTGTGATTGATTACCCTCACCATGAGTAATCAATGGTGAAGACAGAGTTGGAAGTATGGTTCACAGAGGGTGGTCCCCTGGACAACATCAATTCCACTTAGATCTGTCAGAAGTACAAATACCCGAGGCTGCACCCCAACCTACTGAATTAGAAGCTTTGGAGATAGAGCCCAGGAATCACTCAATTAAAGGTTTAACAAGCCCTCTCGATAATTCTGAAGTTCACTAAAGTTTGAGAACCACAGGGCTAGAGCAGCTTTTACTCCTCCAGTAAGAAATCTGTCACATTTATAATTATATTTCTCAACTTTAAGTCTTATGTGGCCAGATATACATTACTAGGACTATAAAGAAGTTTTTTACAAATATGGCTTTATTCAGGTATGTGTAGAATATGTATGTATCCATATATGTATTAAAAACATTGATTAGTAAAAAATTTTTTA